TTCTTATTCAACGGCCATAAAAATTATTTATATTAATGATGTCTCCAAAGATCAAGTTATTTTTCTGTGAAAAATTCGTTATCAGATATCGCAGCCGCCGTTTCGTGTGCTGTTTTGCAACGAAAACAAGTTTGAGCAACGGCGTAGTCAAACGGTGCACACTCGGTAAGTAATCCTACAATTTTTTGTTTATAGCATAGTTTATACGGATTATTCCCAAAAAATTATACATGTTTTGGAAATGTTGAGTGGAATTAGTCTAGAATCGGTTAATTTTATAGAAGAAAACCTTTCAAACAGCCTTAGTCCGTAAACTTCACATGTGTCGGGCTACGATTAGCTCATGTATTTAATGATTCCTACAACGTAAAATTTGATTAACGTGGAACGTATCTAAGTGTTATAGGGGGGTCTACCGTACAAGGCTAGCCATGTGACCACCTGTATCAATCGAAAGGATGAACTTAGTCTATCTGTAGCATGGCAGGCCTTTAGAGACGGCAACCTTTAATTAAATATCACCATCCATGCATGAGTGTGCGTGCCTCTCACAACAGGTTTCATTAAGCAAGCATTCCATTTTGTTTTAAATCTTCACGTTCTATTTTTTGAAGCATTCCATCAGATTTTTTACCTGAGGAAGAACTATTTTAAAAAACATTCAAAAATGTTTGTGAAGAAAGGTTTTTTCACACGGTTTACATCAGTAACAGGTTCCAGATTAAGTGTTGTTAGATAATTTTCCACATCTGTTCTTGAAAAGCTTTATGGAAAACTTAAAATAAAAAATTACAATTTTTCTCAACATTTATGGATTAAAAGCAAATCTTTACAAAACTGGACTTCACAAATAAATAAATATCCTCAGTACCTTTATCTAGTCCAGGAAAGTGTTTTATAGAAAAATAAACTGCTGGACTAGATAAAGATACAGTGGTTATTTATTTATTTAAGGATTGTTAAACAGCTATGAAATGAAAATTATTAAATAAAAAGTTAAATGAAAAATAAACTAAATACAAGCTACATGGGTATGGGGGGAATGAATGAATTGGATATAAATAAGTGAAAATAGAAATATACATGTAGGAAGAAGATAAGTATGGCTAAGAAACTGCACAGAAGAACCAAGTGGCAGATGTAAAGCATCTATCACGTGTGTTTAGGTTGATCCATTGTTCTTGGGTTCAATAAGACAAGGACAAAAATTAACACAATAACTTTAATGTATGGAGTTTGGGGAATAGTTCATAAGATACACAAGGATAATAAAATAGTCAATCTTATATTAATGTTTATGTTATATAATTTCCGGCAGTCTTTGGTAATCCCTTCTCACTCGCTGTTCACAATCCTGGAGTTGCCTCAATTTGATGTCTTCCTCTCAGTCCATGGTTCACTTTCTTCCAGTTCCCCTTTTTCTTTGCCCTCATCCCCATGGTTTTTTTCTTTCTTTCAACGTTACTTGTCTTTCCACTTAACAGGACGGGAGTGTCACTAATACTAAGGCAGTAAGCCAGATGGGCACACACCTGAGTCAACATAATGGAAATTGCACGTTTTTCACTAAGCCATGTAAAATTCTAATCAAGATCAATAAATGAACCACTTATCTGTCATGAAACATCTTTCTGAATTTTCTGCTTTCGCATGGTCCATTCACACAACTGGCTTTATAACTTGCTTTAACTACGTTATAAAGACCATCAAAATCTGTATGATAAATAACATTTTATTAAAAAATATACAATGCATCTTGTGGTCTCTCGTGTAAGGTCTAAAAACAACAAACTGTTTTTAATTTTTCATTTTAATCGATAAAAAAACTACTTTGATTTTTTTTATGGAAATTAATTTTCTCTTAATGTTTAATAATGTGCAAAAATATGTAGTTTTTAAACAAATATTTAGAAATACAGGTAACCCCCATATAACACGGTACTTTTATAGCACGGATTCATTCTGACACGGTTCGAGAAATGGGTAAAACCCTCGTACAACATGAAATGTAATAAATTTTTACACACTTAAGTACTAATAGTTCACGAAAATAATAATTTTCGTGAACTATTAGTACTTCAGTGTGTAAATTTTCTTTTCTCGTCTCCATACACATGGTCCTTCGCGAAAATTGTTTCAATTTTGCCATATTTCGAAGCTTCTGCTTCTGGTGTTGCCAGATGTTTTCCCCTTATTTCATAAGTGCTTAGCACCATATAAAGAAATTTATAAAGATCTTTTAACTAGAAGCGAGCAATCTATAATTACATACACTTTTTGGAAAAGGTAAAGCATGAATCTGAAAATAATGCAGAAAAATGCTCAGAGGATAACGATAACTTGCCAAAAATAAAACGCTCTCGGTTAATAGTGCTTTTAGTGATGACAAAGAAAACATTGTTTAATTTATATTAATATGTATCACTTAAGAAAATTTTAATAAAGATATTTAACTTAATTATGAAAATATAGTAGCATGTTTTTTAATTTTTGGAACCTAACCCTCCTTTTCATACTAGTTCTTTGGTTTGCATAACACAGCAATTTTTTGGAACATAACTATCGTGTTATACGGGGTTACCTGTATATGGTAAAGGTGAAAATATGTAAAAGTATATAATGTAAAGTTTACATTTTGCAACATGCATATGTTATAAAAGTTACATTCACCTATCAAGATCCCATTTCCTTGATTTCAATGCAAGGAAAGGAACATGTAAAATCATAGCTATTCTAATTCTAACCTTAGTTATTAATAAAGTGATTTAATATTTATTTATGTAAGTTTGATTTTAAAACAAATTAGATACCAGTTGTTATTTCAAGTATTTCTTTATAATAATTATTGCATTCTACCTAAGAGTGATAAGAAAATTAAAAAATACACAAACTGTATATTTTACATATTTTACTTTCTCTAAAAGTTTGTTAAATATAGAATCCCTCTACTATATTTTATGGTATTTATTAATTTTATGTTGTTGCCCAAGTTTTCAGAAATTCACAAATAATAGATGTGGCATAATTTAAGAGTGGTTATTACTTCAAGTTTTAAATATGTGATGCAGATACTATTAGAGGGTAGTTATTATTTGAAGAAAGCCATTAACTAAAATTATTTCACTTTCTTATAAGTGAAAATATAACAAAAACAAGATGTAATTTTAAAAAAAGACAAGTTTATTTGATTTTTAAAATTTATTATATTTCAAAAACTAGTTTGAGATTTGTACATGAACTCTCCAAAATAATTTTTTACCAACAATCTTCATTTTTCAAATGTTTTTGGCTGTTTGTGCAGCCTTCATCGGGATACTACAAACTGCATACAATTAGAATGCTTAATTTAAAAATTAACTTTGTACAATAAGAAAAATTTATAATTGGCATACAGTAACATATATATAATGTTACTGTAAAATCAAATATATATATTTAGCCTTATAACAAATAGGGTTAGTGTCAGGAAGGGCATCTGGGCGTAAAACCTATGCCAAAACTACATGGAATGTCTGCTAGACTACAGCTGTGTTAGGACGTCCCCACGAAGCAATGCACAGTCATGTTGCCTGAAAAGTATGTCAGAGGAGCTGGGGCTACCGAACCAAGAACAGGTTCGGATAAAGAAGTTAGTCCAGAGAGAGAGGAGGAAGAAGACAAGTATAAGAATAGGTACTTTAAACATCGGAACATTGAATGGGAAGAGTAGAAAGTTGGTGGATCTTATGCAAAGAAGGAGAGTGAATATTTTGTACCTGCAAGAGACAAGATGGAAAGGAAATAAAGCTAAAGAACTTGGTGAAGGGTACAAGCTGTTTATGAGTGGAGCAAATAAGGGAGGAAGGAATGGAGTGGTATCGTAATTGATAAAGTTCTAAAAGACAGTATCTATGAGGTTAAACGAAGGTGCGATAGAATGAGCCTTAAGTTAAATGTTGGTGGAATTTTCATTATGATTGTGTGTGTGTGCTCCTCAGCCAGGTAGTGGAGAAGAAGAAAAGACAAACTTTTGGATAGATCTTGACCAAGTTATAATATGTGTTCCTATGAACAAGAGATTAATCTGTTGGGGCAATTTAAATGGTCATGTTGGGAAGAGGAAGAATGTCAAAAGAAGAGTTCTTGAGAGATGGAGAGGGAGAAAGACTAGTCGATCATGCTGTGGCTTTTGACCTAGCGCTAGTTAACACCTACTTTGAGAAGAAAGTGAATCAACTGGTTACATACATGAGTGGAGATAGATCTAGCCAGATTGATTTTTTCTTGTACCGCAGGAAACATCTGAGTGAAGTGAGAAACAGTAAGGTGTTACAATGGAGACAGTGTTGCTGCACAACATAGAGTTCTCTTGGTGGATTGTGACTTTCTTATGGGCCATTGTAAGAATTGTGTTAGCCAGATTGAACAAAGGATCAAATGGTGGAGATTGAAAGAGGGGGGAATTAACCTTTTCTTGTCCACTTTTTTAAAAAAATGTTTAATTAAACATAAAAAATACTTAAAACTGAAAAAAAACAAAAGAAATGTGTTAATTTTGGTTAAAAAGCTTCATCATTTAGTTTCCTTTGTCTCGCCTTTCTATGAAATTTAATACCGATGACTCATTGTTTACACATCTGGATGACCTTGAGAACAGCTGGTGTCATATTTCCCGGGACATTCTCATAGACGTCTCGGGAGGAGAAGGGTTTAAAGTAGGGTGACTAGTAATTAAACCTATTTTTAAATATTTTTAAAAAATTATAATTTGTATTGTGATTTCCAACCCCCCCTAATTAATTAAACATATATATAATAAAATCTATTAATTAAAAACTATCGGAGGTCGTTTTTGACATCAGAAAGCAGCTTTAAATAACTTTACCGAAGGAAAATCGGCGCACTACAACTTTAGAACGATTAATTAATTTTGATAAAGAACTCCCATTAAAAAACATTAAAAAGCAATAAAGCGTGAAGCACACGTCATTAAAGGTTGATTAAAATCGCGATAAAATTTTTTCGCGCGGGCAAAAAATTTTGAAAAAATTTGGGGACCTAAAAAACATTCCAAAAAAAAAAAATTTCAGGGGCCCAAATGCTCTGTTTTTTTAACGCTATAAACCTTGCTCGAGTCAGACTCGAGCATGGGTTGGAAGGGGTTTTAAGGAAAGAGTTTAAGCTAAAAGTGTTAAAAGAGATCCAGTTTCCAGATGATGTACAAAAATGGTGGTTGCTGAATAGTAATAGCATTTTGAAAGTTGGAGAAGAGGTTTTGGGAAAAACTTCAGGGAAGAGATTGCCAGAAGGAAAGGAACTTTGGTGGTGAAATGCTGAAGTACAATCTGCAGTTAAACAAAAGGAAAAGAAAAGGTGGGATTTGATGGGAAAACCTGAAGATAAAGAAACTTACCATTTGGCAAATAAAATGACTAAACAGGCGGTGGCTATTGCAAAAGCAAAGGTTTTACAAGAACTTATAGTTTTCGAAAAAAAAAAGGTGGTGAAAGGCAATTGATGAGAATTGTCAAAGCAAGAGATAAGGCATCAAAAGATTTTATTTCTATTAAACTGATTAAAGATGATAAAGGAGTGGTATTACAAGATTACAAAAGGGTCAAGGAAATATGGAAAGTATATTTTAGGAATTTATTGAATGAACAAAAGCCTTAGAACTTTATATGAGAATGGAGAGGCAAATGAAGGAGTGGTGCAAGATATTAGCAGAGAAGAAGTGGAAAGTGTGCTTAGGAAAGTGAAGATGGGAAAGCAGTAGGCACTGATCGGATTTTGGTTGAGGCTTGGAGAGGTTTGGGTAAGGAGGGAATTGATATCCTCTGGGATCTTTTGAAGAAACTGGCAGCAGGAGAAGATCCCAGATGAATGGAGGAAGAGCATTCTTGTGCCAATCTTTAAAGGTAAAGGGATGTACAGAATTGTGGAAATTACAGAGGTATAAAGTTATTGCCCCATACTATGAAAATTTGGGAGAAAATTGGAAGGATTAGGCAGGAATCTGAGATTGGAGAGGAACAGTTTGGCTTTTTGCTGGGAAGGAGTATGACTGATGCTATCTTTGCTCTAAAACAGCTGATGGAAAGGCACAGGGAAATGCCAGAAGATTTGCATATGGTGTTCATAGACCTAGAAAAGGCGTATGATAGGGTACAAAGACAAGAGGTATGGAGATGTTTGAGGGAAAAGAATGTTCCAGAAAAATATGTTAGGCTTGTCATGGAAATGTACGAGGGAGCAGAGACTCAAGTTAAGAGCAGTATGGGCACTATAGAAGGTTTTTCGTTAATGTTAGTTTACATCTGGGATCAGTCCTTAGCCCTTATTTGTTTGATCTGATAATGGACGTGATGGTGTGTGACGTGAAGTGTGAGGCTTCGTGGAATATGCTGTCTGCGGATGATATTGTGCTGTGTGAACTTTCCCAAACCAAGGCTAAGAAGAAAATGGAAGTTTGAATGAAAGTTTTGGAAGAAAGGGGCATGAAGATTAGCAGAACTAAAACATTTAAAAATAAAATGACTAATTAAAATAATCAAAAACCTTAGTATTTCCAGCAACAAAGTATTTAATAAAATACTGTAAAAACGTTTTTGACTATGTTTAATAGTCGTATTCAGTTAAGCCACTTTAAAACAAAAATGAATGTAAAATAGAACGCAAGCAATACAATGGTTTAAAAATTGAAAATTAATTACAACAAAATAAAATAAAATGTAAAAAACAAAATTAAATTACAATAAAATATTAAGAAAATTAATCTTGGTAAAGAATTAAATTAAATAAAGTATTAAGAAAATTAATCATCGTGGTAAAAAGATTTCCATGCGCAGGATAGACTTTCTGCGTCTCTATGGTTGATGCATCCTTTGTTAATATGTGCCTTGTAAATTTCAAGTTTTTCAATATGTTTAAGTACTTGTTTGTCATTGGCTGTCCTAATTATGGATGCTTTGTCCCAATGTACATTAATATCTTGATGTTTAGCAAAGGCTGCAAGGACGGTGCTGTCCACGTTTTTAGTAATAGAATACTTATGTTCTTTAAGCCTCTGTTTTAAAAGTCTCATAGTGGCACCAACATAAACAAGATCTGAATTAAAACGGCAGTCACTTAAAGGAATAGAATTAAACTCCTGTACTATTGTTACGGTTTCCTTTCTTCTTATCATTTCGTAAAATTCTATAAATCGTAGGATTACAACAATAAATAACTCTTAAATTATTCTTGTGAGATAATTTTTTTAATCATCGATTGCAGGAAAGGTATATAGTTGAGAACTGCTCTTTGTCCTTGGTTCTTAGTTGTAGGTTGCTTAGCTTCTGGGTACAAATTCACTAAGTACGGCGTTAATAAACTTCTTTAGTATTCACACAAGTACTTTCGACGTGTGTATAACCGTCGTCTTCAGGCAAAAAGAACAAGTTTTTAAGAAAACGAATGTGCAGGATGTTCCAAAAGAACATAATATTTAAATTCAAACAAGCATCCGGAAATTCCGTTACGAACGTGTGAATGATTTTTGATATTTCAAATCTTTATTTTACGATGTTAGCGGCGCATGCTTGGAGATGCTACCGCGTTGGCGATACGATGTTGGGCGCATTTCGTTTTTTAGGCGCCGATACAAGGCAATCCACACCCCGGGTAGATCGAGGGTGGGAACATTGCATGCTTCTGAAGTGGCCGTGAGAAGCGCTTCCCAGATGAACACAAGCCTTCGATTGTTGCAGCATTTAATTATTGCCGTTCTGGGCCATAACGGGTTGTATCCTTGCTCGAGAACTTTTTTAGCGAGCTCTGTAGAGCATCTTCCTTTAGCTATGTCTTCCTGATGCTCAGCAAGGCGGGAGGCGAGCATTCTTGTTGTTGCTCCTATATATCTTGTAACATCACCCGTTGCCGGATTTTCTAGGTATATCGTATAAACCCCTGACTTTTCTAAAGTGGTTAGCCTGTCCTGATCGTTGCAGATACATCTGCGTAAGTTTGGTAGGGGGGTTATGGGTAGTATGAAATTATACCACCAAAATATGCGGCTGATGCGTATAGAAGTTGGTCCAAGATACGGCAATGAAGACTGGATCATGGATGCTTTTTCTTTTTTGTACAACGTGGTACATGGGTATAGGGCCTCTTTTACTTTACGGAGCACATGTTCATATTTACCATACGTAAATCCTACAAGAGATACCGCTGCTCTGATGATATCTAATTCGATATTTGTTGCTAGTTGCGTCGACGGAAGTAGTAATGCTCTTCTAACGAGTGCACTTTTCGCCTGAAGACGACGGTTATACACACGTCGAAAGTACTTGTGTGAATACTAAAGAAGTTTATTAATGCCGTACTCAGTGAATTTGTACCCAGAAGCTAGACAAATATTGGCATGAGTTTTTAAATTTATTTTTTTACGTAGGTTGCTTATTTGTTTGATTACAAAATTTAGCAATAAGAGCATTAATTTCACTTATACGATATCCCTGTTGTATAGCTATTGTACATATGTAATTTAATTCTCTATGTGTGTCAAACGTACTCGTACAGTGGGTATAGGCCCGCTTTATCCGTGATCGAAAGGCTGCATTCTTAAAATTCCGAGGATCAAAGGAATTCTTTGGTATAATATTAGGTAGATAGCTAGGCTTTCGATAAGTATCTGTCTAAATTCCCCAAATTTACTAGTTATAGACAGATCCAGAAAATTTACATTAATATCACTTTTCTGTTTCAATGATAAAGTCACACCATATGGGTTGTTATTCATTTTGTTACGGAAATATTGATCGCTATCACTATTCCTCCAAATGATGAAAACATCATCAACGTATCTTGCATATACAAGTATATCATTTATAAAGACTAGTTTACATAATAACGGGGATATCGGACTTTCCATTGGAACCCCTCCTTCTTGTAAATGTGTGTTCCCTTCAAATACAAAAAACAAAGTATAACAAATTAGGTGTGCAAGCTCTAAAATCTGTTGGTGATATAGTAGAACCTTGATTATCCGGACTAATTGGGGATGAAGGTAGTCCGGATAAGGGAAAATCCGGATAATCGAAACAAATACTTTAATTTGTCTTTTAATGATAATACAACATGTTTTATTTTCGATGACATATTGGTAATATTAAAAGTAAATACTGTATTTAAATCGTGATCAAATTTTCAAGAAACAAACGTTCGTATTGAATTTGGACTACTACTGACCAACGCTAACAGACTACCTATTGTTTAAAAGGCCCTCTGGTGGCGCAAGAAGACGGATTTTATAAAATAAAAAGCAGTTGAAACTGCATTTTTATGAATAAAAATTTGACAAACTATTTATCGTTTTATGACGAGTAAAATTTTTTCGTCGCGTTCGCGGCTTTTAAGTAATGCATAAACCTTCGAGGCGCGAGGCCCTTCGGACCGCGAGGCATAGGCGGTGGCCCACGTCGTCCATGCCTTACGCCGCCCTTGGTCATAGAAATGATGTAATTTGAATATAAATTATTTATAAATACGTATGTCAAGTTATATTTTTATTACTACGTAAAATATATTTAAGAGTTTATGACCACTGTGCTGGGTGAGACGTTGTTGAAACAAAAAAAGTTATGCATTCCATCACGTACATAAACAGTGTCGTAATTTGCCAAGTGCAAATCAGCAAAGTCATAAAATTTTTGTTTATTTTGAACAATCCGGATAATCGAAAATCCAGATAATGGAGGTTCTACTGTACTTTGTTGCATTATTAATGTTAGTAAGAAGGAAGTCTCTCAGCTTGCAAAAGCAAGGCGGTAATTTTATAGATGGAAATAGATTTAAAATCCATCACAGTCATAACTTCATTATCTTCAAGGTTAATGTTTCTGAGCTTATCTACCAGTTGAACAGAGTTATTAATAGCATATGGGTAATCTTGAATCCTTGGTCGGATAAATTTAACTAGTTGTTTCTCAATTGCAAAAGTAGGGGATCCGCATTTCTCTATAACAGGACGTATAAGACAGTCCGGCTTACAAGTTTTGCCAAAGGCGAAGATTCTCGGTGTTCTTGGTGCTTGTACAACAGAGTTCCTTTAAAAATAAAATGACTATGTCTTTTTATTTTTAAAGGAAATTTTATCATTTAGAGAAACTTTAAAATTAAAAAAAAAGAACTAAAACAGCTTATATGACTCTGAATGGTAGAGACGAGTGTAATATTAAAATCCAAAATGTGTCACTTCCTTTTGTTCCGAGTTTTAAATACCTTGGGACATTTGTAGAGATGGGAGGAGGATTGAACTCTGAGGTGCAGCATAGAATTCATTGTGGATGGATGAACTGGAGGAAGTTGAGAGGTGTGTTATGTGACAAGAAAGTTAGCTGCAATCTGAAAGGAAAATTGTGTAAATCGGTTGTTAGATCAGCAATGTTACATAAAGCTGAGACATGAGAAATAACAAGAGCCCGAGAAAGAAAGATGGAGATGGCGGAGAGATGAGAATGTTGAGATGGATGTGTGGAGTGTCAAGGAAGGATAGAATAAGGAATGATTTTAATAAAGGTTCTGTTAAGGTGAGCCCCTTGAGCAAAAAGATGCAAGAATGTAGGTTGAGGTGGGTTGGCTACATAGAGCGAAGAAGCGACAATTATGTTGGAAAGAAGATTGGAAAACTGGTAATAAAAGGAAAAAGGAAAAGAGGAAGACCAAAGATGCGTTGGAAAGATAAGGTAGAAGAAGACTTGAACCAGAGGAGACTTAAGAGAGAAGCCCTTGATAAGGAGAAATGGCAAAAACATATTAGAGAAGCATGGAAGTTTTGCTATGAAGGAACACCCCACACATAATTAGGTGTAATGTGGTTTTATTGCAAGCGCAAGTTGCGCGTGCTTTGATGGCATCGCTACAAGAGCATGGTGTTCTATTTTCGATATTAACGTTGACGTTCGAAGATTTGAATCGCATTTATTTGGTTCTTGTTCGATTTCGCACTGTTTGAATTTTTATAACAGTGGCCTGATGAAGACCCTGGTAGGGTCGAAAACGTTTGCTTAAACGAGTATTACTGGAGATTTGGAAGGTTTTTATACAGGTAGAAGGAAGTATATTACCTCCAGTATTTGATAGGAAGTTCAGTTGTTATGTTAAATACATAAAAATAATAAATTATCATAAATACTACAAAATTTTATTAGTGATTATGAAACTAA